TGTAACATCATTGGTGTCCCAAGTAAATGGAATTAGGGCCTTCCTGGAGGCAGTGTCAAGACCACAAGAAATGTGTGGGCACTCCAGAGGAGCAGGGACCAAGTGCTCAGTGAGGGTTCAGTCTAAGACCCTCAACTCACGCTATGAGGTGATGACCTACAGGTCAAGACTTCAAAGTCTTTAAAAGCTGAGCACCCAGCTGTGTCTCTCCACCCTCCTGCACTTCATTCTTGAATGAACTCATGGTTCTGCAAGCTGGCCTGGACTTTGAAATCAGTGTCACATTTAACCTGCCAAGGCCCCAGGGACTCACCTTCCTGTGACAAAATACAGTCTGGCTTGCAGAGCTGCAAGTACAGAGCTGTGGTGACGTCAGTAGGAAGCCAGAAGCCAGAGAAGCCCAGGAGGGTTGTGGGGGAGGTTACTTTTCAAGTTGTTGAAGGCATTCGGGAGAAGCTAATACGTTGTTACTGTTCCATTGCTACAAAGCGTCTTTGCAGGGAAGACAGATTTCAGCAAAAGAATTTAATTAAATATTGCCCGATGCCAGATTCCCACTCAGAAAGCAGCGGTGGGTTCCATTAAAGGATGAACTTTACTCCCACAGCTGACAGCTGATTAATGTGTTAATTAGAAGCCCTGCCCCACCCCCAGTGGCCCAACCCTTCTCTTAAACCCAGAAGAATGTATGTATTGTACCATTCGGGTAACCTAATGGCTTATGTATAGTGGCTCTGACCTTGGACATTTATGTGAAAAAGAAGGTTCCGTTGCCAATGTGAATAGCATGCTTTCTTTCCACAGCTCTGAAGGAGTCACGGGAACCCAGAGCTGTGCCTTTCAGTGCTGGTATCATGGGGAGGCAGTGTCTCTGGAGCAGGGAGTGGTGTAGGTTACCACACATTTATTTCACAGGAAAGGAGGGAAGCCATCCGACCACTGAGCTCCTAAGTGCTGCCCTGGCAGGCTGCCGGCAAAGCCGGCCGACCATAGGAAATGTTTCTTCTCCTGTGTAGAATTGGACCCATCTCAGGAACGGGAACTTGATCTTCTGGGGGACTCTGTGCTAGGCTCGAAGGGAGCACGCATGTGCGTATCTCCTTTGTGATCTTTTTGTCTTCCTGGTGACCTGGAATGGATCTGTGATCCGAAGCTTTCCAGCAGTCCTGCTCAATGGCTTGCATTTGCACATTGACTGTTCATTCCCTATATTGGCGTAGTAAGACAATAGCAGTTAGGACCACTCTGGGCCCTGTCAGGAAGAGAGGCCAGGTTCCAGCATGGGATGGGACCACACAAATCACTACAGAGCTCTGGGAGTTGGGCTTATCTTAAAATGTCTGAAAGAATTTTGGTACCTCTTGACATTATGTGTGGGGGGAGGGAGGGACTTAAAAAATCTCAAAAATTAAAATAATATGACAGAATTTAAGTCTGTCCACAAAGAAGGGGAGAATGTGCTTTGCATATGCAAATGTTATTTATTAAGAGATGCAGTATATATTTTCACATAACTGCCACAGTTTATATAATCAGCTCAGGCTCCCATGATGAAACCTTTGATTACAGAACTGTCGTTAGTTGGATGTGGGGTGAATAATGGTGCTGGGTTTTACTGCTGCACATGATGTAGCCATTTGCACCATAAATCCATTGACCTCATCTTAAACGATGTGTCCGGTAAGGCAGACTTGATTCATTACTTCTTAAGTGATGATTTCCCCCGCCTAATAATCTTCATCAGAAAGATTGCTTTTCCATATTTTTAGGTCTGTGTTCTAACTGAAATGTAAGGCCTTATTATAGTCAGGCTTGCAGCACCCCAAAATAACACAGTTGGGGCACGTCTCAATGGAGGCTCTTTCAAAAGAGTCAGAAGACAAGTGTTAACACTAGGATTTTTGGCTTGTGACAGTAGTGGTGCACGTCTTTAGTCCCAGCTCTTGGGAGGCAGAGGCAGGAGGATCTCTGTGAGTTCGTGGCTAGCCAGGTCTACACAAAGAAAACAAAAATCCAAAAACAAAAGAAAGAAAGGAAGGAAGGAAGGAAGGAAGGAAGGAAGGAAGGAAGGAAGGAAGGAAGGAAGACATTAGGCCTTTAATTTGAAAAATTGGAGTTTTGCTTCTGATGTCTGTGATTACTTTTCTGCGGGAAAGGGTGAAATGTGGGGGAGAATTCTCATTGAATAATTAGGATGGTCTGTGAGCGTCATTTATCAATGATTATTAAAAGTAAAGGGTGTGAAGGGAAAACTATTAAGTTATATTTAGATTATTATGTTTTTTCACCCCACTTGAAAATATTTATCTAGCTTGAGGAAACACAAATCCTCTGGAGGAAAAAAATCAATCTGGCAGTTTCAAAACCAATTAATGATTTCATAAAACTCTTCCCTATTATTGTTAAAGAGCAAGATCCAAAGGACACATGCCAGGAAAGTCATGTGTTATTTTAATTAGGTTAACTCATTGATGATGTTTTTCCAGTTCATGAAGAAAAGCTGTGCTTGGTCTCTCATTTCAAGCTTATACATTTGTATTTTAGACTTTCTATGCACACCTACTATTAAAAACGGAAGCAGGTAGTTTTATTTCACAATGGTATTTAAATGCCACATAATATGTTAACTTTACTTATTTATTTGGAGACAGGGTCCTGGAACTCACTCCATAGACCAGGCTGGCCTTAGCTTGCAGAAATTCTCCTGTCACTGTCACCCAAAGGTTGGAATTAAAGGCGTGCACCATTACACCTGACTCTAACTTATTTAAGTGTATGTATCATGTTTTCACTAACAGGTTACTTAACCTTAATCTAGATAAGAAGTGTGAAGGTCTGGCAAGGCCTTTGAGATTCTTGTCATCAGAGTGCCTGCAAGATGGGCATCTCACTGATAACAAAAATGTCCCCTAAGCCTAGGAGGACCTTAAAACACCGGTACTGAAGGAAAGGAGATATGGGCATTGATATTATGTTGTAACCACTTTAATGGTGGCAGCAACGGTTTCAATAGCTATGTTGAAGGAATTCCCTTACCACCGAAGCCCACTCAGGAGTGTTCCAGTCTCAGATTTTTGGAAGAAGTAATTTGAAAGGACAAACAAAAAGTGAATGTGTGCCAAAGTATGCATCTTGTTCAATCTCGCACTGTCAAGTTTATCAACCAAAAACATCACTGGAAAGAAAAATACCAAACCCTAAGAAGAGAAAGAGTGGCTTTACACATGCAGACCCACATCTGCATCCTCAGTCGCATGTTAGCATGCCACCACTGTTTACAAGCAAAGGAAGCTGAGACTTAAGTGAGATGGGCGATCAAATGCCCAGCATATGTTGTTTGTGCACGGTTTATGTGACCAATCATTATTAAAGCTTATCGTCTTTTAATTATATCAGTTCATGATCATTAAAGACACATGCACACATTGCATGCACAGCAACAGAACGAACACACTTCAAAACTGACGTCCCATTTAGGACAATACTGGAGCCATTGCTCCATTGCAGGAAGACGAGTTCCATAAACTCACAATGGTGCTGAGTTTTGCAATTCCTTCTCTGAGACTGTATGGCCTGAATGCTGTGGAAACAGGAAAGAAAGAAAGAGAGAGAGAGAGAGAGAGAGAGAGAGAGAGAGAGAGAGAGAGAGAGAGAGAGGAAGGAAGGAAGGAAGGAAGGAAGGAAGGAATGGAGGAAGGGAAAAAGGATTGTGTGTATAAAATCCTGTCAAGAAAAGTGAGGCACAAGAGGGACTATTGAAAGTTTTGACATCTGTTTATCTGTTTATAGCGATGGCAAGATCACTCATATTAATTCTTGTTTAAAATGCCATATGAAGGGAAGGCATTTGTGCAAACAAGAGTCATATTTGAATTGGAGATCATGTCTTCACCATCTGTGAGAGCTGATGGTGTTGCAAAATTAATGTGTTAATGAAATCACAATAATTTCTCCAAAGTAACGGGCTCTGAAGCCGAGAGTGACTATTTTTTGAACTTTGGTGTCTAGTGATTTCCAGTTGGGAAAGGCTCTGAGTCTTTAATTAGCTCGGCAGCCCAGCTTTGAAATAAATTTGGTGATATCTTTCTTTTGCCAGGAGTAGATCTGAAGGGGGTGGGGTGGAAGCCATAACAACTTTTGGGAAATGTTCTCTGGTGTTTGAAAAGTTGTTAAATATGACTGCCTGCCAAGAAATGTCACCAAAAATTCTGACTGCTGAGAAAGAGTGGGCAAACAGCTCAAAAAATAATTCTAGCTTGCTGCAACATCACAGGTTGGGAGAGCTAAACCTCACACAGACTTCATGGCTAAGTCCAAGATGCTCCTTGGAAGCCAGACAGAAGGATGCTCAGTGCTTCATGCTATTGGTTAACACAGTACACCCTTTCCAAGCACTTTACTGGATGCAGTCGATAGCACAGAGTGACTGGGTAAATAAGGAGAATTTTAAGAGTTTATGTTGCATGACCATTGAACTCTCTGGGGATTCCTTTCTTCCAGCGTTGTTTAAATGTGTGTTTGCAGTAAGACCGTTAAGTAAGTGAAACCATGAAGGCAAGTATACTGAGTAAGTGTACTGGGCAGGTGCACTGGGCAGGTGCACTGGGCAGGTGTACTTGGCAGGTGCACTGGGCAGGGGTACGGGGCAGGTGCACTGGGCAGGTGTACTGGGTAAGTGTACTGGGCAGATGCACTGGGTAAGTGTACTGGGCAGGTGCCCTGGGCAGGTGCACTGGGCAGGTGTACTGGGCAGGTGTACTCCATTTTGTCAGAGACATCTTCAAGTCATTTTTACATTGTTAATACCCTTTTTTTGAAGATCCTATTTATAAAACAAATTCATCATTGCACGAACATTTCATAAATTTACCTTTTAAAAGGAACCCCTTCAACTATTTGACAAATTATGACAATTTGAAAGAGTCTTTAAGTGAAACGTGAATGCCATCCTCCTGAGAAAGCTTATCTTACCTGTTGTGGTTTTTATTGCTGTGTTGTAGGTGTGTGACTGGTGTAAACACATAAGGCATACAAAAGAATACCTGGATTTTGGGGACGGGGAAAGAAGGCTTCAGTTCTGCAGTGCAAAATGTCTCAATCAATACAAAATGGACATTTTCTACAAAGAGACACAGGCCAGTCTTCCAGCTGGGCTGTGCAGCACATTACACCCTCACATGGAAAGTAAAGCAGAAAGCACCGGGGTGCAGCTGCTCACTCCAGACTCTTGGAATATCCCGCTAACAGATGCTCGGAGGAAGGCCCCCTCCCCGGTGACTGCAGCTGGCCAAAGCCAAGGCCCTGGCCCATCCTCGTCCACCACCGGCTCTCCATCTGACACTGCCAACTGCTCTGTCACTAAAATCCCCACGCCAGTGCCCAAGTCCCTCCCCATCAGCGAGACTCCAAGCATCCCTCCTGTCTCAGTCCAGCCACCTGCTAGCATCGGACCTCCGCTAGGCGTCCCGCCTCGCAGCCCTCCCATGGTGATGACCAACCGCGGCCCAGTGCCGCTGCCCATCTTCATGGAGCAGCAGATCATACAGCAGATCCGCCCGCCCTTCATCCGAGGACCTCCGCACCATGCCTCCAACCCCAACAGCCCCCTGTCCAACCCCATGCTCCCGGGCATTGGGCCTCCGCCCGGTGGCCCCAGAAACCTGGGCCCCACTTCCAGCCCCATGCACCGGCCCATGCTATCGCCTCACATCCACCCCCCCAAGCACCCCTACCATGCCTGGGAACCCCCCGGGACTGCTGCCCCCGCCTCCCCCGGGCGCGCCCTTGCCCAGCCTTCCTTTCCCTCCGGTAAGCATGATGCCAAACGGCCCGATGCCGGTGCCCCAGATGATGAACTTCGGGCTGCCGTCGCTTGCCCCGCTGGTGCCGCCCCCCACGCTGCTCGTGCCGTACCCAGTGATCGTGCCCCTGCCGGTGCCCATCCCTATCCCTATCCCCATTCCCCACATCAACGATTCCAAGCCCCCCCAACGGATTCTCCAGCAACGGAGAGAGCTTCGTTCCCAGTGCCCCGGGTGACTCGGCAGCGGCGGGAGGCAAGTCGGGCGGACGCTCCCTGTCTCCGCGGGACTCCAAGCAGGGCTCGTCCAAGTCAGCTGACTCGCCACCTGGAAGTTCCGGCCAGGCTCTGAGCCTGGCGCCCGCCGAGCGCGGCCGAGGGGAAGTGGTGGACCTGACCCGACGCCCCGGCAGCCCCGCGGGCGCGGGAGGCCAGCCTGGCTTCGCCGGCGTGCTTCATGGCCCGCAGGACGGCGTCATCGACCTGACAGTGGGACACCGTGCCAGGCTGCACAACGTGATCCACCGCGCGCTGCACGCGCACGTCAAGGCGGAACGCGAACCTGTCGCCGCAGAGCGGAGGACCTGCGGCGGCTGCAGGGACGGCCACTGCAGCCCGCCTGCCGCCGGTGACCCCGGCCCGGGCGCCCCCGCGGGTCCCGAGGCTGCCGCCGCCTGCAACGTCATCGTGAACGGCACCCGCGGCGCCCCTGTCGAGGCCAAGGGCACAGAACCACCGCCCGAGCAGCCCCCGCCCCCCTTGCCACCCAAAAAGCTGCTGTCATCCGAAGAGCCCACGGTGAACGAGCTGGAGTCTGTCAAGGAGAACAACTGCGCTTCCAACTGCCACCTGGACGGGGAGGCGACCAAAAAGCTGAAGGGGGAGGAGGCCCTGGCGGGGGGCGACAAGTCGGACCCGAACCTCAATAACCCCGCGGACGAGGACCATGCCTATGCTCTGCGGATGCTGCCCAAGACCGGCTGCGTGATCCAGCCTGTGCCAAAACCCACGGAGAAGGCTGCCATGGCGCCGTGCGTCATCTCCTCGCCCATGCTCAGCGCCGGCCCCGAGGACCTGGAGCCGCCTCTCAAAAGGAGGTGCCTCCGAATTAGAAACCAGAATAAGTAAAAAGGTTTGTATGTCCACCTGGGAGCTCCTCCAAGAGTCAGTACCCCTCACCTTGCTTCTCAGAAGGTGGGGCAAGATGTGGCTCTCACCATCCTGTCCCTTACCTCATTCACCGTGTACTTTGTGTGGTCAGGTACTATCGGCTTGACCCATGACACCTGGCAGTGTTTAGTACATCGTTACCAGTTTACAGCCCAGGGACAGCTAACACTCAAGCCCTTGAGCCCAAGTTGAAAACACTTTTCTTACACGTATGTTTGTTTTCTTATTATCGGGGAGGGGGTTGGAAGGGAAGATTACTTGGGGAATCTTAATGTTCAGCCATGAGGCTGCAGGGCAGTATTGAAATGTCGACTCCATCTGGAGCTGGTGGCCTGCTTGGCCGACTCTTATCCTAGCTTGTCAAGATGACCTTAGGACCTCATCTGTGGGCTAAAATTAAAAACTAACCTCCTCCCAACCTGCCATGTCCCTCTTTGGGACTCACTAGCTGAGCTGGCGATTTTCACGTCTACGTACAGACCTTGCTGAAGTGGGAGGGATCATCTCTGACAAAGTATGCTGTCTGCATCGCAAGTCACTGAAGATGAGCTCAAGACTTCTGTGAGACAGTGGGTGAACCACATGTAACTATAGTGATTCCTCCTGCCAATCCTAGTGAAGTAGGTGTCTTGTTAGAGTTCCTGTTGCTACGAAGAAACACCATGACCATGACAACTTGTATAAAGGAAAAATATTTCATTGTTAGCTTACATTTTCAGAGGTTTAGTCTGTTATCTTCATGGCTCAGCATGGTGGTGTGCAGGCAGACATGGTGCTGGGGAAGTAGCCATATCCTACATCTTGACTTGTAGGCAATAGGAAGTGAACTAAGCAAAGCTTGAGCAAGAGAGACCTCAAACCCCACCCCCACAGTGGTACACTTCCTCCAACAAGACCACACCCACTCCAACAAAGCCACACCTCCCAATAGTGCCACACCCCCAGCTCTTAACCTGAGCACTGCTCCCACTGGAGACGGGGGACACACAGAAGAATGTTCTACTGGGCTGTCTCAAGGCAGGTACAGTCCTGTGGTGAGGGCTGTAACCCAGGCAGGAGGAGGGCTTGGGGCAGGGGAGCAAGAAGAGTCTTCTCCACACCTGTGTGTACAGGCGGTTCTGTTTTTCCACTAATATTTCTTCATAGCCAGATCCATAAGATAATTATCTACATTCTCTCGGTGGCGAAACAGAGATGCCCAGAACAATTCTCTTCGTTCTCCTAGCGGAGAAACAGGATTGGGGAATTGACCAAGATCACCTAGCCTGTGAGCACAGCTGTGATTCAAAGCCAAGCCATGAACTCCAAAGCTGATTGTCCTTTGAAGCATGGTAGGAGAACCAGCTCCCTACTTCTTCCATTGCTGTGCTTATAAAAATTCTCTTATTGCCTTGGAGCACAGTTCATGAAACACAACAGCCCTCTGCTTACCAGCTTTCCCGATTTTGCATTCGTGTTTTATCTAGCCGTAAACACAGCCCTAGACTACCAGTCTGCTGCTTCATAGTGGGGACGTGGGCACCTTACTCATAGTCAGAGGCTTGAGTAGAGGCCCTGAAGCAGAACAGAAGGCTTACTGCCTAGTGCAAGAATCTTTTTTTCAGCCACCATGGCTTGAAGTCTCCTTTTCTACTGGTGGCTTTGCCAGTAGGAGCAGAACACCAGAAATAAGGTCATAATTCCTTCCTGATTAGCTCTGCAGTTTCTGAAGTCAGAAGACAGGTGACCTGAACTTTCTCACAGGCACCTCAACTGCAAATGCCCCAGATAATTTAGTCTGTTTGACAGCAACACTCTGAGTGATGGATTGATGTGTGACAAGACAAACAAACAAAACCTTCAGAAAGCACTGGGAAATGTCATTTACACACACACACACACACACACGCACGCACGCACGCGCACACACACACACACACACACACATATATATATATATATGTATATATATATATATTCTGAAATCAGCCAGCCAGCTACATTTGCCCTCACAGAACTCAACACATTTGTTCGATTGGTTTTTTGCAGATTGCAGCCTCCCTCTCTCATTTTGAAATTCTTCTGTCCCTGCTTTCCTGACTTTACTCATTCTTATTTGCTCATATAGCTATAAATGACTTCAATGGGCAGATGTTTCTCCCAAGATGCAGAACTGATTGAGTTGAAGATTTTTAAAAGGTTATAAACTCCTTTAATCTCCAGTGTTTAAAGCTCTGGATACCAGTCCTGCAGCTTCGGTAGCTAGAAAAAAAATCCCCCGAATAATAAGGAAAACAACATATAAACACTGTCCAAACTATTCTATCCACCAAGAATTCCATTTGTAAATGGAATAGTCCTTCTTTGTTGTTGTCTGGAAGCCTGGTGGATAGCTGTTCCATGTTTTCCAGATTCGTACAGCTCACACTTGTTTATGGTACATCGGGGAGTTCAGAGTGACCATGTGTAAGTTTCTGAAGATATTCAAAGCAAATAGCCCATTCCTTGGTTTTCCAGGGAAAGAACATATTTTTTAAACAAAATGGGAAAAATGAAGACCAGGAATTAACCCTTTCTCCTCCATTCCTTCTATTCTCCTGGAGCGGGAGAACCATACAGCTCCCCCCAGCCCCATGCCTCTCCAGTCTCTTACATGTTTCTAGAAATGCTCCTCCCTGCTCAGCAGCGGAGACTACACTTTGCATCTGGAGAAAGCTGGAGGAGGGTCATGTCATTTGGGCTCCTTGGAGCTTAGTCTGGTCATTGTGACAACACCCAAAATGTTGTTTCAAAACACAGAGTTAGCTTCACCGGGGAAGCCGAAAGGGTGAAGGTGAAAGGCACTGGTTCCCGTTTTCTTTCTCATACTCTGAAATCCAGGAGAACAGACTGTCTGGAAGGAAGTGGGAAAGAAAGTAATACCACGGGCGCCCACTTTTAAAGAAAAGAAAAGCCACAGAGCGATGACAGGAAATCAGCGCAGATGGGGCATCCTCAGTCCTAGGCCAGACCTGAGCTGTTTATGCTGCAGTATTTAATGATTAGAAGTATTCACTGGGTGACAGTCCTGAGTTCAAGGTTATCCTGCCTCTCAGTAAGTGCTTAGCTTCATGGTTCTAGGTGGAATTACTACGGAGAGCCACCAGGTTGGTTTGTATACACGCAGAACAGGTGGGCACCTAGGGGTCCTGGCTATGATCACTTTAGCTTTCTGAATAACAGTGGCATGATGAGGTACAGCAATGTTTCATCCAGTGAACTCCAGCTCAGTACCAGGGGTTTGAACAGGAAGATCTGATGTGCAACTTTTAGAAACTGTATGGTGAGGCGTTGCCAGAATATGGGATAACTTGTGTGAGCAGGTGAGGCTTTCCTAGAACATGGGATAACTTGTGTGAGCAGGTGAGGCTTTCCTAGAACATGAGATAACATGTGTGAGCAGGTGAGGCTTTCCTAGAACATGAGATAACATGTGTGAGCAGGTGAGGCTTTCCTAGAACATGAGATAACATGTGTGAGCAGGTGAGGCTTTCCTAGAATATGGGATAACATGTGTGAGCAGATAGCCAGTGCTTCTGGATGAAGCCATCACCCTGTCACTAGAACAGTACTAGAACTGAATTGATTTTTTTTTTTGAGACAGGGTTTCTCTGTAGCTTTGGAGGCTGGCCTCGAACTCACTTTGTAGACCAGGCTGGCCTCGAACTCGCAGAGATCCGCCTGCCTCTGCCTCCCGAGTGCTGGGATTAAAAGCGTGCGCCACCAATGCCCGGCTAGAACTGAATTGAGACAAAAGAAAATTTGGTGCACAGTCTTGCAAGAGGGACCCACTCCATCCATCCTATAAGTGTGCACTCCCAAGATCTTCTAGTCCAAGTGGCAGAAGAATTACCTTGCATCCTTAGTGAGCAATATCTCAAACTGGAGTTTTTCTTGTTGTTCCAAGAAAGCTGAGTTAATTATCCTATTAAAAATAAGAATTTAGCCTTTAATCCCAGCACTCGGGAGGCAGAGGCAGGCGGATCTCTGTGAGTTCGAGGCTGGGCTGGACCGACAGCCTCCAAAACAATACAAAGAAACCCTGTCTCGTAAAAACCAAAACAATAATAATAATAATGATAAGAATTTACTTTGGGCAATTTTTTGCTGTGGACCCAATGTCACAAATCCACAGTTGCCTGATTCCTTTAAATGATTGCCTTAGTGACACAATACAAAAAGTTAAAGCTACCATGCCCAGTGAGTGCCTGTGGTGACAGACAAAAAGGTAACAAAGGAAGATATAAGCTAGATACTCCCCCAGTGCCTGAACTTCCAGAGTTTATACAGTATGGGAGATGCCATCTATAGGGAAATGCCATTGACAGCAAGGGAGCAGGCTGGCTGGAGTCACAGAAGAGGACAGGTGAGTGAAGCTGGCATTGAGGGGCAGATCTGGAAAGTGACAGTCATTCTTGCCAGTTCCCCAGCATGAAGAAAAAGAGAAAGAGAGGGGGCCAAGGACTGGGAAACAGGAAACACTTGGCCCACTATTAACAAGCAAGACATTGCCCAGAAGGGTCCTGGAAATAGGTGGCATGACCAGATGTGATGACTGAGTCCCTTGTCGCACTGCAAGTGGCTGCCTGTGCATCCTGATTCAGACACTCACACCTACTTCCACGCAGACAAGCCTTATGGAGAGGCAGAGGTGTCTAAGTGGCCCAAACACACGCCAGGGCAGAACACTTAACTCACGTGTACACTCACCTCCGCACCAGCACCCTCCCCCTCTAGACTCCCTGTTCAGAGATCCTGCCTGCCGTAGGGATGGAAAGGCTGCTCTACTCCCTCACACCATGTCCTGTATGGCATTCTGCTAGTGCATTTAATATGTGGATGGACGCTAAGGAGATACATTTGTGTGTGCGCAAGTGCTTTTAAGTGACTCAAAAGGCATAGCAGCAATTCATTCAGACTAAGAGATAAGGCAGCTTGAAGAGG